ACCAAGGCTGGACACACCATACAGATCTCCAAAAGATCTCTTCACAGAATCACAGAATATTAGGAGTTGAAAGGGACTTCAAAAGATCATCCAGTCCAAACCCCCTGCCAGAGCAAGATCACCTAGACCAGGTCACACAGGAATATGTCCAGACGCTCTGAATGTCTCCAGAGAGGGAGACTACACAACCTCTCTGGGCAGCCTGGTCCAGTGCTCTGTCACCCTTACAGTAAAAAAGTTTTTCCTTATGTCCAGGTGTTGAAAGGGACTTCAAAAGATCATCCAGTCCAAACCCCCTGCCAGAGCAAGATCACCTAGACCAGGTCACACAGGAATATGTCCAGACGCTCTGAATGTCTCCAGAGAGGGAGACTACACAACCTCTCTGGGCAGCCTGGTCCAGTGCTCTGTCACCCTTACAGTAAAAAAGTTTTTCCTTATGTCCAGGTTGAACCTCCTATGTTCCAGTTTGCTCCCATTTCCCCTTGTCCTTTCATTTCACATCAGAGAGAAGAGCTTGGCTCCTTCCTCCTGACACTCGCCCTTTACAAATTTATAAACATTAAAGAGGTTGCCCCTCAGTCTGCTCTTCTCCAAGCTAAAGAGACCCAGCTCCCTCAGCCGCTCCTTATAAAGGAGATGCTCCACTCCCTCCATCATCTTTGTGGCTCTGTGCTGGACTCTTTCAAGCAATTCCCTGTCCTTCTTGAACTGAGGGGCCTAGAACTGGACACAATATTCCAAATGCGGTCTCACCAGGGCAGAGTAGAGGGGAAGGAAAACCTCCCTCGACCTAGTAACCACCCCCCTTCTGATACACCCCAGGATGCCATTGGCCTTCTTGACCGCAAGGGCACATTGCTGGCTCATGGTCATCCTGCTGTCCACCAACACCCCCAGGTCCTTTTCTGCCTGGCAGCTCCAGCCACTCATTCCCAAGCCTGTAGCGCTGCATGGGGTTATTGCAACTGAGGTGCAAGTTCTTGTTTATCTGCAATACAGATCTGCAAGTGAGTATTTTTTTCTTGGAAGAGGAAAGGTTAGTTTCTTTGCAGTCATCATGATGTTTTTCCTTGGCATTTTTATTAGAAGATCTTAGTAGTTAAAGACTGAAAAGCTCTTCAGACCAGTCTTGCACTGACTTGCTTGCTTCTGTAGAAGGGCTTTATGTAGAGGGGGCTGTGTGGATGCAAGTACCACCATGCTTCCAATAAGGGGTGACAACGTGGACACATGGGCATGGGCACATCTTGAGGATGCCTGTGGAGTGATGGGATCCTGCCTTGCACAGAGCAGAAGCATGTGGGAGGCCGAAGGAAAGTGGCCAATCAGGGTGGTGTTTCCAGCTGTTTCAACTGTACATGGGAATTGGGGTATTGATGCTTGTAATGAGTATAGCTTCGTTGGGTAAATTATACAGCTAATACAGTTGCCTCTGTTGACTGTGATGACAGAAAAACAAATATATTTTTTCACTTGAAAATTATTTATTTATTCCTTTTCCTCAGTTTTTTCTCATGATATCATATTAATTCTTATTTTTTGGAAGTGGTAGAAACATGTTGCCATGGTTCCTGTCAGAGTATTGGTCTGCCCAAGCATCCTTGTCTCCTTGTACATGTATCTGCTTTTGTTAACTCACACTTGCAAATTACAAGTTATTTGTGGTGACTTCAAACATTGGAAGGAACCTCTCAGCTATCAATGGATTTCTCAGTCAGTCATTGGTAAAGGCTTCATCCTTCCCCAACATCAGGTCAGAACTTTGCCACCTTCAGCAGAAAGTCATGATTCACAAATATGACTTAGGTTGGACAAAGGCTGCAAAACAAGTTAAATTTTAGAAATGCATGAAGAGAGCCCCATGACCATGGCGTTTGCATGTACTTATTAACAGCAAGGAGCTCTGCGGAAGCCTGGGAGGTGAATTTGTCATGGAAATGGCTGTAGGAATACCACAATGACAGATTATGGTTCACAACATTAAAACCATCTGTGTGGATTTCCAGATGCTGTCCATATGACAGGTTTTATCCAGAATCTGCTGGTTGCCGCTGAGGTTGTGGAAGATGCTTTTCGCTGCTTTGACTCTATAAGAGAAGGCAGAGGTCTGGACACACTTCACTGGGCCTGTTCAGTGCTTAGATAGAGGTGGACATGAAAATTAAAAATGTTTGATTTCTATGTCCAAACCTCTGCTAAAGATGCTATACAAGTATCAAAAGGAAATAGCAAGATCCACTAGTGAAGATCCTTACAGGACTGGGGTGGATATTGTCCATGGAGGAAGGGGCCAGCTGATTTTTTTAAATCTCTTCCAATCCTATTTCCTACGAGTCCTGGAGAAGTTTGTTACTTAAATTTAGAAGTCTGCTATCTCATTGCTCTTGCAAGTACTGCTGGCACTAACTCAGAGCTTGAAACAAGCAGGAGCTTCCTTCCTTTTGTACACGTGTGGGGCTAGTTTTAGATAACACACATGTTAGAAATGTCCATCCAGTCTAGTTCACTGTGCAATCCATCCAAGCATTGCCCTTATGGTATCATGGGCAAGTGCTACACCCAAACCCAGAATCATCACATCCTGTTACTTGGCAGCTGAGAAGCACTGCAAGGGACTTCTTCTTTCTGCTTCCTGACCACGAGCAGGAAAGCATTTTTTGGGAAACATGTTCTGATATATGTGAAGTGGTTTCTGAACTGACTGTAGAAAAACTCAGGAATATTGAATGCAACTGATTTTTCTGAATATGTGCTAAATGGAAGCGGAAAGAATAAAGTGTCCCTGAGTACAAATTGTCTGCAAATTGTGTTTTATTTTCAGCTGAATCTTTCTGGTATTAATGCATTTTATATTTCATAGGAATGTTCTCTAGTTTGATAAAACTAACTGATCTCTCTAATAATGGCAAAGTCCTGGCTCTGTTTCAAGGCAAAGGTTCACACAATTAAATCTCATTAACAGAGGACCACAAAGCCTGTACTAAACCTTTCTGTGTATGTGACCTTCAGCAGAACTGCTTCATTTCATCTGAGATCCTGGAGAAAATGTTTGCTGAATAAAGTCATTCCTAATTAATGTTAAAATGTCACGGATTTATCTGCCATCCATTTTTACTCCTTTTTCTTTATGCTCTTAATTATCTCTTTAATGAACAACAAGTAAAAAAGTCAAAAGCAGCATCTTCTAAATGTACACACAAAAGGTGGGACAAAGCAGCAAAGCAAATTTGCCAGACGTGCTTTCCCATGTAAAATTTGCAAATTCCTAGACATCTTTCCAAAACCTCACTTAGATGTTGTCATTAAGTACCGATGAATTATTTTGTTATTTGTAGAAGGCATAACTACTGAGTGTGAGTTTTCCTTGCATCCTTTCTAATGTCACCTTGAGTTTTCTCTCAAACCATGTGCAAGTCTGTATTAACAAAGTTTCATTTGCTCTATGGTGAATGTAATTGTCTGTCTGTTCTCCAAGGATCACTCATCCAAAATCTTTTTAAAATAAATAAAACAGTTTTTGGTGAGTTTCTACTTTCCAGGTACTTTCCAGGTCAAAGGGACATTCTGGTTGGATGGAGGGGTCATCAAGTGGTGTACAAACGTGGTGGGTCTGAAATCTGAAAATCCTCATTTGTTTTTTGCAAAGACCAGCGATAACAGCAGGTGTTGGAGCTGCTTGGACTTATGGAGCAGGACTTCAGTGGTGAAGGCTCAGAATCACTCTGCAGCCTCTCTAACTCTTATCCTCACATTAAAGTAATGAGACCTGTCTTCCTGCCCATCAATCTGTACAGCATATGCAAGTCCTTCTGCTATGGTTTAAATAGGAATGACTCAGATGTTATTAAGCCTCTTAATGAAAATGGATTACATTATTGCCTTTCACAAAATGGGAGGTTTAAAAAGCCAAGTTAGTGTCTTCCAAATGTCAGTAACTGGAGACACTTTGGACAAAGAGTGAATTTTATTGCTTTTCTGGATATCTTTAACCTGAATCATCTTTGCAGTGAAGTAAATGTAAAGAAAGTGTAAAGTAAATTATAAGAAAAAGTATTAGAGATTAGAAGTTCTTTGAATTTGTGTTTAATGATAATTAGGTTTACCAGTCTTCAAAATAATTTCTTACAATGACAATCTTGTTTTCTCCTTACATACTTGAACTCTGACATGTTTGTATTGGCATTTTTCCGAGTATCTCTTCAATAGCAACAACATGATTCAAATCACCATAAAATCTGTAATCACACAGTTCAGTGGTAAAAAGGATCAGTCTCTGACCCTGTTTGTTTATTGAAAATTGCTTTGCAAAAGTAATTTAAAAAGTGAAATAGGGATAAAAGTAATGATGGTATCCAAGCCAGAGACTCTAAAGCCTGGTATGTTGTAAAGGGTTATAAAGTTCCATCAAGCCCAGAGAAAATTGCTATTTTTGTTTATTCCTAACTGGCAACAGAGTTTAGGAGGATTTAAATTGTAGCTGAAGCCCTTGTACCTGAGTACAAACACTGAATCCATTGATAGGTGTCTGGTATGACTTTGTGAACTCTTTATAGAGAAGTAAACCTCAGTCACTGCAGCTCCCCACTCACTCTGAGGGGGCCTCGGTTGTGTCACCCTCAGGCAGGTGAGAACCCAAGCTCTGCCATCATGTCCACGTGTACCTATATATATGTTCATCTATCCATGCACAGGATGCATTCGGGACAGCAGGGCCTTTTATGCTGTCATGAATATGTGTACTAATATAAGTAATTTGATGTTTCTTGAGCAACATAATTATGCTTAATAACCTATATATTCAGAGTAATTGTTATCAGTTGTGTTCATTTGTGTATATGGCATAAGGTAATGACTATTTTTAATTAATATTGCTGTGGCATCTTCCTTGTGCTGTGATTAGATTGGGTTTTCTTTTGCTGTTTCATTTATTGCTAACTGGTAATTTACATCTAATAGCCTTTTTTTCTCTTCTCTTCCCAATTTTTTTTTTTAATTAGAGGAGATCTTGAAGACTCATATTGCTCATTGGTGGTCTCCTGATGGCACCAGGTTAGCATATGCAACAATTAATGCGTCCAGAGTCCCCACCATGGAGATCCCAGTATACACTGGCAGCCTTTACCCTACTGTTAAAACGTATCATTATCCAAAGGTAAGGGAAAATAAAACAAACAGTCCTGTTGTTCTATATATATAAAAAAAATCCTTTTCTTCAGTAGGCTCCATCAGGAGACTGTATGATAGTGCAAATTAATAACCAGTGAAATTAAACACATCTAAATGAAGATCAGCTGTTTCCCAGTGAGTGTGGTCTTCATCGTAAAATTGTGGTTTTCTAATTTGAGTATTAGTCATTCTAAATACAATGAAAATAACGTTTAAAAATTCTTGCCTTATACCCACACAAAAGTAATAGTGCTTCCATGCTAGATAGACAACCTTTTATCAAAAGATACATAAAATAGTGGTATTTTTGGTGACCATAAAAAGTATCATTTTTACCAAGGCTAGAGGTGTCATAAGTAAAATTACTCCTTGATTGTGCCTACCAACCTCTCTACACCTCTGTGCCACATCACTCCATTTGCAGTTTTCCTATGAACAACTGCAGCAGTTCAGTCCATAACCCCATACAATGGGAATGCATTTTTATAATCCATGGGACGTACCAGATCAAAACCCTCCTGTGTTGTATAAGATATGGTAATTTATTCTTATTTTAAAATCCAGGCTGGCATGGAAAATCCAACTATTTCTTTGCACGTGATTGGTCTGAACGGACCTACCCATGACCTGGAAATGACTCCCCCTGACGATCAAAGAATGAGGTAGGTGATTTCTTGCTCTGGGATGCTGGACCAGTTTCTCTCAGGGATTTAAGTCAGTTCCTAGTTTTTTTTCAAGATCATTTATGGTGCCTTTCTCTACCATTATCAAGGAACGTCATTTTGTGTAAATCTGTTCAAAATTTTTCAAATTGTTTTTCTTCATACATGTATTTTTATAGAACATTATGTTTTTCACTTGAAATCATTGTGACCCAGACTAACTTCAGTTTAAGGCTATTTTTAGAGAACTTAGTAGGATGTCCCAAAATCTACATCACATTCATTTCACATGTAATCACAGGCATTGCAAAGCAGATGTTGTCTGCAACCTGCATGAAACACCATGAAGGAGCAACAGGATAGCCCTATAATAAAGCAAACAGAAACCCACAGCTTCATAATATGAACAGGAATGAAAGCAAGTGGACTTTCTGCAAATACATTGCCCAATCTTCATTAAAAATAAAACCGAAAGCTCTCTGCTGCTTTTAGGACAAGTGTATTTTAGAAGTTGGCCTGCAATTCAGCCAGCTACTTAAGACACCCATTTCTAATTAAGTGCGTGCTTAAGTCTGCATTCAGCAGCAGTTTAGATAACAGTTTGGCTTGGACTTCAGCATGTGGTCAGAGCTTGAGCTACATTTATAAGTGTCTGTGAACACTTGAAAGGAGGATCACATTGTTCCAGCCTGCCTCAAGGGGAGAAGCAGCTTTAGATGATACACAGCACTCCTCCCTGAAAAGCTCGGAAATTCAAATCCAAATCCAGATTTCAGTAACTTTGTTTTGAACTTGAAATAGCTTTATAGCAGGCCAAGAGAAATCAAACTCTGCTTCTACATCTAAAGTATCTGTAGTGTTCTCTCCAAATATAATGCTGCAAGATAGTCCCTCCCAGACACATCACTTTTCCGTGTAGGAGTGTCTAGCCACTATGCATGTTCACCTTTTTTTATTGATTGCTAGATTAGATTGCTGGATCTGTAATTCCAGTGCCAATAAAGACAGAGGTAGAGCACAGAGCAAATGAAACAGAGCAGCTTGGAGGGCAGGGGAGGGTGCAGGGGTGATCGTCATTATGCATGATAAATATATAAGGTCTGTGGATATGCTGTGTAGGCATCTGATGAGAGGATACTAAACCAGTGGGAGCTGCCTTTCTTTGCTAGGAAAGCTCGTGTCAGCCTCTGAACATGTTTTCACTGAATAACTCTGAAATACTGCAATTCAAATCCATTTATGCAACAAAAGATGTATGACCTGTGAACAACCTAAATGGGCATAACTGCATTTGCCTTTTGAAAAAACAACTTCAGAGCTGTATACAGCAGGCAGCAATTCAGGGTCACAGTACCCCCATCACAGTGCTTGAACTGCGGCTCCTGGACAATACCATTTTTCAGCTGCTAGCATACTCTGTAAATAGAGAGACTCAGAAATGTTTTAATTACAGTAATAACTTCAGAACGCAGGATCCATGTGTTGTTAATAAATTTGTCCTATATGGTTATGGGTAGCTGTAATTTATGTAGTTGCAATCAATATTGTAAAATGACGCAAAATATATCATAATTAATTAGTCTCTATATTTCATCAAAACCATGGCAATTTCCATCCCTAGGGCATGATATAAGTAGTACTTCTAGAGCAATAAGGGTGCATTTTCATTATGCGTATGTTTTCTGAAATGAGAGGATTAGTGTGATAACATTTCATTAAAAAAGACGAGAGGAATGTAGTGTACAGTTAGTTACAGAGGAAGTTTCAAAGAGGCAGGGGAAGCTGGTGATAAGGAT